CGTTTCAGCCTATTTCTGGGTCTTTTCAGACCCAGAGTTTTCAGCCTGAAACGGAGGGCCATTTTCAGGTCCTCATTGTTTCGACCTGCCCCTAAGACTCAGGCACGTAAACAGGGATGCGGAACAGGCCAAGAATAGCCTGTTCCTCATGTGCTCGAACAGGAGCTGCAGCTGCAGCCCCTGCCTGCCTTTGGCATTGGCAAGAGCAGCCTCCTGGACTCCTCGCACGAGTCAGGAGGCACACCCGAGAAGTACATAGGACTGTCCTAGGCACTCACGGGTAGGTAGTTTTTCAGTAGGCACTGGTAGTCTTCAGGATTCGGCCGCAGCACTCAGGAGGAGCGCTGCAGTAGTCTTCAGCGCTAAGTAGTAGTAGCGCTAGCTGTAGTCTTCGGCGCTGGGCGCCATAGCCATAGAGTAGTCTTCAGCGTTGGGCGCTGGTAGGTGGTAGATCGTAGAGTGGGAGAGAGACTGGCGGAGGCCAGTGGTACTTACCTGTGGCGCCATAGCTCCAGCTCCATCTTCGTGGTACCTGCATCAAGGCGCCAACTTCACAGGTTAGTACTGGACACAGAGAGAGAGAGAGTTCTTCTTCTTCCTCTTCTAAGTCCACCTTCTCTTCTCACCCTCTCGCCACCTGACTTCTCAGACTACGACAGAGAGAGACAGGGTTGTGACTTGAGACTTGACGACATTGGATCCAGACTTGACATTTGGGATTCAGACATTTCGACGAGGGACTATTTGGGCTTCTGCCGAAGACTTGGTGTTGACGACATTCCCATCTTCCCCCTCCTCTTCGTCTATCCCCTTCCCCTCTTCGTCTGTGTATGGTATGGGCTCGCACAGTCTTCCTGTGTGAAGCGCCAGGCCCCATTCACACCATGTAACGATGATGATGATGTATGTTGAGGGCTGCATTGCAACATTGATTGTTCGGATCACTGGTATCTAAGTCTTCCGTTGTGCTATCTTATACTTTGTATTGAAAGGTCGGTTCTTGTTCTGGTCTGCATGTTACAGTATGCAACAGTGTGCAACGTGGGTCATCTTCCCAGTCTATAATGATTTGGCTGTAACGAGGTCTGAGGGATATGCTGCTGCAATTGTCTCTTCCAGCTTCGCCAACCTTCATTTGAGACGGTATTGCAGAAGTAGTCTTTCCCTCTCAACAACGCATCTGCCACCTTATCATGCCTGTGTGATTCAACGCAAAATCATAGGTTTCATTTCCCACCGACGATATCGTATGTTTCTGAATTCTTGGGCTGCACCTTCAAACATTGCAGCGTTTGGTGGTCAGACTACACTTTGAAGGACCTTTCGAGCAAGCCATTTTCTTGTAGGTACTGATGTCAACCATCTTCGATGGCATGTTGATCATGTTCACGCAGCACTGCTCCGATCCCATAGTAGCTGGCATTTGATGTCAGCTCAAAGGGGAGCACTGGGTCTAGTATCTTCGCGATGGGATAGGTGATGAGGCAGTTCTTGAGGGTCTGAAGGACCTCAGAAGTCGCAAAGGAGTGTCCTTTCTGGTAAGATTTGTCGGCTATGCGATGACCATGCCACAACCGTGGAAAACGGTTGAATGAACTCCCTTGTAGTACTTCACCATGCCAAGAACTGCACCTCAGGGATTGTCTTGGCTTGTGGCCAGTTAGCAACTGCGTCAAGTATCCCCGCCTCGAGGCTTGTCCCTTCGGCTGCAATGACCTGTCCCAAACTCTTCCTTGCGTTGATCTTGTACTTCCCCTGACGTTGATCTTGTACTTCCCCTGGCGTTGATCTTGTACCTCCCCTGATGTTGATCTTGTACTTCCCCTGGCGTTGATCGTGTACTTCCCCTGCCTCTCAACCGGTTGAACACCAACCTCAAAAGCTACATGTGTGAAAAGCTACATGTATGCCTTAGATCCTGTATCTGCTGGACACGGTAATATTTTGACGTTTATGACAAACATGTTGAGGTAGTCCTTGAGCAAGTCATTCATGTCTCGGTGGAATCTTGCAGATGCATTCGTAGATCACCAAGAAGCTCGGAAAGAAAGAGCCAGTCTATGCCTTCTCTCACTGTTCAAGAGGCTCACCGGTCAGCATGAATCGCAAGCGGCCTTTGATGAGGGGGTCGGAGTCTCGGGGCATGGGACACTACCTTTCTTAGGTGGTATAGTCTCCGGGCATGGGACACCACCTTTCTTAGGTGGTATCCCATGTTTTCCATCTCAGCCTATTGTTGCTTATCGTGGTGATGTTACCCTTTACGCTACATCCCCTTGCGAAATCTTTCTTCTTAGCCTCAAACCGATCTCCCATAGCCTTGGGTAGTCCTTCAACTTTGTTGTGGCGATGTTACCCTTTATGCTCCATCCCCTTATGAAATCTTTTTTCTTAGCCTTGAACCGGTCTGGCATAGCCTTGGGTAGTCCTACTTTGTGCCATGTAATAAAGGAGAACCAGAGTTTTGTGACTTTGCTCCAGCGCCAGGATGGTGCAGTGCAGTGGATCTGGCATTGGAGTTTCGTGCACGTCTTGCAGTTGCAGGAGCTATTGGGGTCGGACCGTTTCTTGCTCTTGTGCAACCATTTATTCACAGGTAGATTAGTGAATGCAACTATTGTAAGCTGCAGATATGGTGGGTTGGACTTTTCATGTGGTTCTCTGCTGCAGGAAACGTAGTCTGGAGCAGCTGTGGGGTCGTCATCCCACTGGAACATGGGGCGCAGAACTCCCAACTTCGAGTAATGACTGACGGGATAGTAGTGTACGAGACAGCTCTGCTGTGCAGGCAGAGACGATGGGGTCGACATTGGCAAGCAAATCCTAAATTTGCTACTACATATCGGCATAGTAGTGTAGGAGACATATCTCTGCTGTGCAGGCAGCGACGATGGGGATGGAGGGTTTATCAACCCTTTTCTTTGGACGACTGGTGTAATGTTGTATCCTTATGCTGTGTGATCGGATGAATGGTAGTGCCCCCAGTTTTTGTTATCACCGGTAAGTTTTCAATAGCAACAAGCAAACTGCTTGCTGTTGTGTGACTGTGGAGAGATGGGTATTTGGAAGAGAACAGGTAGTGTTCCCAATTTTCCCTATCATCGGGTACAAGTGTTCAAGATCTACAAGCAAACAGCTGTTTGCTGTTGGTGACTGTGGCGAAACAGGTTTTTGTAAGAGAAACAGGCCCCTCCTTGAACGTACGCTCTCATGTTCCATCTTCTTCTTCTGTAGCTCTTACTGGCCATGTTCTGGCTGTGAATCTACTCTTGGAGGGAGATGAATGCAGTCAGGTTTCCCTGTGTTTGTAATGAACCCAGTCTGACAGATACTCAGAAGTCGTCAAATACCTGTAGAGTCAATATCTGCAGCATTCGTGAAGAAATATATCAAACAGTATCTCATTATCATCAATAGAAGAGAGGGGAGGGGGAACAGACAAAGGAGAAGATGAAGAATCACACAATAATCCCTGCTGGACCCTCTCCTTCTCCGGGCTTCTCCCCTCTTCACATCAACAATGATATAAAAAATTAAAAATATATTTCTGATCAGACACGGAAGTGCCACGTGGCACTCAATCTCATGAAGACCGTGAAGACATTGCAGATTCCAGTATCGACTTCAACCCAGGTGAGTGCCCGTTCTCCCTCAAACACAGATCCCGATCTTCCTCCTCCTCGCAACCAGTCACCTCATGTAGACAGTGTGGACAACGCCACGTCACCAATCGAAACAAGTGGCATTCGCCACATCACCAATGTAGACCAGTAGCAGCGCCACATCAGCATGCCACGTAGACTAGAAGCAGCGCCACGTAGACCAGAGGCAGCACCACATATACCAGAGGCAGCACCACATCAGCATGCCACGAAGACCAGAGGCAACGCCACATCAGCATGCCATGTAGACCAGAGGCAGCACCACATATACCAGAGGGGCCACATCAGTATGCCACGTAGACCAGAGGCAGTGCCACATAAGCATGGCATGGCACACTGAACAAGCGCCAGCATGCTGCCACTACCTCGTGCCGTCTTCGGCAACCCGTGTGCACAGCCAGCATGAAGCCAACGTCGTGTCAAAGTCAAGCCAGAGTCCAAGCAGCATAGCCAGACTGAATACTTGACTCCCTTGAGGTCGGCCTTAAGTAACAGATGTCGAGGCTGTCTGGCCTCGGGTACATTTCCCACAGTCGTCCAGATTGAATCACAGCTGAGGGCCCGGATTGTACTGTTGCAGACTTCTCCCTTTGGACCTGATGCTGTCTGGGTACCTGCATACAAACAAGTGTGTGTGCTTGACCTGCGGCCTGGGCTAGGTACCTTTGGACTTTGACTGTTGGGTGGACCGACAGTTGACTAAAGTCAACTGTCGCACGCCCAGGCCCTGAATTCGTGAAGGGCCTTTTCTGCCCTTGTTCGGCCTGGGCTGAGGGCGGCCAAGTAGGCCCTCTGATGACCCTCAGTTCCACGAGACATATGGCATGGGTTATTGCATGTTGGTTAGTCATCTGGGCAGCAAATATAGGGGCATTTCACCTCCGCCCTTTTCTAGGGGCAATATTTTGATGCTTGTCCGCTGGTCCGATGGTAGAATTTACGTTCCTGTAAATGCATTTTCCATTGGGAAGCCTCAGAATCTTCAACTTTGTAGCTGCTTTTCTTTTTGGCAGAGTTCTTTATGAAATTTGACATGTGAAGTTTTTGAAACTCCTGTGCACAGTATCTAACTTTAGCAGTCTGTGTTCTTGGCAGAGGGCTTGATAGAGTTGATGGGTGAAGCTTGTGAAACTCCCATGCAAAGTATATAACTTTCGCAGTCTGATTGTGCCTGGGATTGCAGGTCCACCTGGGCGACACGCCTCATGACTTGACTGATGCAGACTTTGAGGAATTGGCAAAGTTGTCGGAAGGATTTTCGGGATCAGACATTGCTGTGTCGGTAAAAATCCATGCCAATGGCGTACATTTACTGTGCAGTTGCTTGTTTGTTGAGTGCCGGTTGATTCGGCTTGCTTTTGTGTGGTTCATAGGGGTATTTTGTGTCAGCAGCGCCTTCCCTATGTGAGCTCCTGTTTCCTGTAAGAATGAACTTCTGACATGTGTTTGCCAGAGGCCATCAGTATCTGAAGAAAGATCCGTGTGTAACACCTTCGAGCTGTGGAAAGGTGGAAGTAAAAAAGATGGAGGCTTGAATCCCTGTCCCGTAGTGGTCAAAACTCCCGTCCTAGAGCATATTGTTGTGAGCCGAGGTGTAACACTGGTGGGTCCTATTGACCTGTCACGTCTGCTGCGGCAGCCATGCGGTATGTTGGAAAGTACTTGGACGTGTTCGCTAGCCATCAGTATGTTGTACAAAATACTTTTCTGTACAATAGAGATGGCACACTTCGGAAGCAAATTATTGGTATTCCAATGGGAACAAATGATGGCTCATAAATTTCTAATCGAACGCTGTATTGGGATGAAGCACGCTTTGTTGATGACATTCATCACTTCAAGCCACTCAGCAGTACTCCTTCACTTATCGCCTCATTGATGATGTTCTTTCGTGAGGGCAATTACCTCCTCCTCCAGAGCACTATGGGATTGAGTTTAGGTATGCATCGACGGGTCCGTTCTGATGGCTCGCTTCGCATGAGCGTGTATGATGAAGCAGCTGCTTGGGATTTTCCTGTCATTCGTTATCTAAGTGCGACCTCCAACATCCCTTCCCATCAACCGGCGGGTGTGTTTACTGGACAATTGACCAGATTTGAACAAATCTGTAACAATTGGCAGGACTTTTGAACTGCGGCAACAACACTTTCTCCTCGCATGCTTTCTCGTGCGCATTCCCCACCAACGCTTGCTAAGGGTTGGACCTGCTACATGCGCTCCCGCCAACGCCGCTAACCTACGCATGTGACACGTCTCTCTCAGTGATTCCGACGCATGCTGCGATGGTCCCTGTATCATCCACTTTCTTCCTTGCGTCCACGTTGGACTCGTCCTGCTCCTGCTCACGCAACTGCTGCTACTGCAGCTTCCACTACTGCAGTTTCCACTGCTGCGGTTTCCACTGCTGCAGTTTCCACACCTGCAGTTTCCACCGCTGCAAATTCTACTGCTATGGTTTTCACTCTGGCAGTTTCCACTGCTGCATTAGTTTCTGCTGCTGCAGTTTCCACTGCGGCCTCCACGGCTGCGGCTTCCATTTCTGCACTTTCTACTGCTGGAATTCCCTGTACTCTTCTTTTTGCTGCTTCAACTTCCTCTGCTGCATCCCCAGCGCAAAAAACATCACAATCTCTCTGACACTCACGTCCTTTGTTCGAAATCTTGCCCTATCCACCCACCTTTCATCTCTTTCTGTGCTTGACCGCAGGAGGTCCTCCTCGCCACCCCCATCTCCTCCATGGCCTCGCTTGCGAGCAGACTCTCCGGTTTCCATTGTTCCCATCGTTCCACGTTTGTTGCCAGGGCCACGTTCTTCTTCTGTTTGCAACACCACCACTCTTGTTGTGTATCGGCGACGACATGCGCGGCATCGTCACTTGTCCGGGGATCAGCAGCCTGTTTCTTTGTCTGCCCCAATTCTCTCTGTGCCTGCTCCACAGGTTGTGTTGCAGTTCCTTTGTACCCAAACGGCAATATCTGCTCCTATGCCTTCTGTAGACAGTCCAGCTGCCTGCAGGCAGCCACAACACCATGTTTTATGCCCTTGGCGTTAGATATTCAGGACTCACCTGTGCAACTTCTGGTCCTTGCCCAGAGTACACTCCCAATTCCAGGGTCAGTCCCTACTCAGGATGCGGTCCCAAACGTTGAGGGATTGGAACATGATCTTCCCGGATTGCAATTAACTCCACAAGGTGTAGACCACATGGGGTATCTGCAAATGGATGGCCAGCATCATTTGGATGAACCACAAATTTGTGCCCCACCACGCGCAGACCACATGGCTGATCTGCAAATGACTGACCAGCAAGCAACCCAAGACATTTTGGGATTGCAACACCAACTGGGTGATCTGCAAATTGTTGGCCAGTATCTGGCACACCAGCCTGAGTTCCGCACCAATCTCTGTGGTTTGACTGCAACTACACCATCAGACTTGCAATCGCCCTTTATACCAAGGAAAGAGGCTTTACCATTGCTGTCCTAACAAGTAGCAATGGCGTACCACCAACTTGACCTATGCAAGGCTCGAGCAAGTGAGTGGTTTAATCGTCCATCCCACATCTCTGCCTGCATTGTGCACGGACCTGGCCTTTACATGGCTATCGTACATGCCTCTGACCACTGGGAGTTGTGGGACAAAGGCATCATGGTCCATGCCATGACCGATGTTACTGATTTCTTACATAGTTATGCTGTTTTCTTGCCACACCAAACTGTCCGCAATCTCTTTTATGCCGAAGATTATTCCTCTGGCCCCGTGCTGCAGCATGTCAATGTACCAACACTCTGCGACCTTTGCCTTTGCATAGCTACAGACACTGTTGCACTCGGCTGTAGTCACCATCATCTAAGTCTCAATCACTACAATGACATGGTTTCTGCATCTATGTGTAGAGGACTGTCCCTCCGTTCCTGGCTGTAGGCACCCTCCGCATTCGGACACTATATGTCCATTTTGCGGCCATAGGTGCTATACCGAATGCACGGTCTTTTATGGTGAGCGATCGTCCTTCGTTTTGGCCTGCAATCGACATGCCATTTGTCGGGAGTGTCTGTTGGGCATGCTCAATCCCAGCCGTCGTGGCAAATGTTCTGCTGAGAATGCTCAGCTAGGTCTTCCATGTGCCCATTCACCTCATCCTTACAATGTGCATCCTGTCTCTCGTCAAGGACGGACTCATTCTTGAGCCTTTTTTTATCCTTACTTTCCCTTTTTCATTCTTTGCTTCTCTCCTCTTCATCTCTCTTCCTTGTGCTTATCACCTCCCCCTTACTCTGCCTCTTTTCTCACAGCGTACAACTGGGGCGGTATGGCACATATGGATGCGGGCAGCTCGAGCCTTGTACGTGAGAGCACGGTGAAAGGGGAGTTAAAAGAAGAATGATAAAAATGAATAGTTTCAGTGTGCCCCTCGTCTTTGTTCTTGTTTTTTTTTCAATGTTTACCGTTTGTTTCACAAAGTGCGCTCTTTTAGTTCATAGTTATGTGACAATATACATGAAGAAAGATCCATGCTAAGATCTTCACGCTGGGGGGAAGGTGATGTCAAACAGATGGAGGCTTGGATTCCAGTCCTATAGGGTCAAACTGCTGTCCCACAGCATTGCGTGGTGAGCCGAGGTGTAACACTGGTTGAGCCTGTGATACTGACCTGTCAAGTCTGACACGGCAGCCATTTGGTATGTTGGATCGACTTGCGTGGCAGTGAATGTGAGGCTAGAGCTGCAATAATAAATGGCCATAATGAAGACTTGGCAGCAGCTGGTTGCATGGACTTGGTTGTGATGCATGTCGTGATGCACGATTCATCTGTAATGAATCCATAGTATATTTCTTCGGTCTATTATTGTTCACGGTAAAAGTGAACTGCATGGTGACTGGTCGATGGGCAAGGAAATGATTGCGGCGAACTTTGCCAGGGGGTTAAATCATGTTGTTGTAATGAAGTGAAAAGCCCGACAGAAGAGGAGCTGGCCATTCGAGTACGGGTGTTATATTATAATTATATTTTAAAGGCATGAATGAACTATGGTAGCGAGTTCTATCGTTATTAGGTCGAAGCCCTGCAGATGCCGAAGAGCTGGTGGCCATTCGAGCGCGGGTGCTATGTTGTTAAGGCATGAACTACACCAACGGCCCCTTTCTCCTTGTTCGAGTTCCCTGAAGCGGCAGGAACAAGTCTCTGGGACTCAAATTGAACCTTGGGAGCCACAAGTGCAAGGAAATGACTTCAAATACGCAATGGGAACAGCAGTAAATGAGATTGTGACATTTCACAGAAGACCAGACAGTATCTGGCCGAAGTTGAAAGCAGAAATCAAAGCAAGATGCACACCAAATAGGAACGTGGAAAAAGTCAGTCTTTTGAAGCCTTTCCAATGCCTCCGATCATCAATGCAACAACAATGTAGCCTCATCAATGCAGCAACAATGTAGCCCACCTATAGATGTGTCCTGGACGCAGGCTCTACTTCCTAGCGCTCCTATCAGTCTAGCCTATCTATGCAAGCAACCAGTCCACGCGTTGTCAGCCCAATGCTGCCTCAATACTCTGATCGAACAGCCTGCCTTTGTCAACACCCGGTATGTGCCTTGTTCACAACGCTTCTCTCCCTTGTCCTCCACGCCTTGTTCCACCAAGGGCCTCTATGCTTCCACCACCATGGCTATGAAGCGCTCAGCCTGACTACGTCTGACACTCCCTTTTTTCTTCCTCGCTGCCACTGCAGCAGCTTCCGACGGGCACAATGCTCAGCTAATTCTTCAGCAGCGCTGCTGCATTGAACTATGCCCGAATGTGTCAGTCTGGGCAGCCTCCAGTCTTTTGTGCTAGTTGGAGGTGCTGAGTAGGCCATGCCCGGGCTGTGCCTTGTCCCAGTTGTCCTGCACCCGTGCCCTTCCAGAATGTGCACGCAGGCCGAGCATCTGCAACTAACTCGTGGACTGGGCTTGTCGCTTAGTTGAAGATGCTGCTCACGTGCTGCAGGTACCCTGAGCCCCGTACTGCTTACATTGGCCTCTTCTTCTCAAGCCCGGCTGAAGTTTGGCAGGGCCACCTTCATTTAGGGCATGCGACACCTTCTTCCGAACCTACCTGAGGTCCTGAATCCTCGCACAACTGTAGCCAGAATCAAGGGAACCTCTGAACTCGGTGGTGAGCGATGTCATTTTAGTGGCCAAAGGCTGAAGAATTAATGGTACTGTCAAGTGACTTGTTGCCTTAGTAGTCCTGTGTACTGAACAGATCTCAGCCTTCCTCTGTGGTAGAAGGAATGGTCAGTGATGATGAAGCGTTCACGAGGTCGTTGAAGAATCTTCTAGGTGTTGTGATGAAGCCATTATGGGATTTCAGATCTATAGCGTCACTAAGATTTGTTAGAGCAAGGATCTGTTCTCTCTGTTGGAGTATTTATTATGTAATGCCCTGGGGTGAAAAGCTATTTTCTGAGTGCACTTTGGCAAATTGAGGTTCTTTTTTATTAACTTCCGTGGGATAGCGATGATGGATGTGTATGCGAGGAAGATTGTTTTGTGAAAGCAGAGCACATGCACTGATAGGTCTGTGTGTTTTTTCCTTGCCTGCCTTGCAGGTTAAGGATGTACTCTTTGAGCCTGTGCGAAAGACTCAAGAGGCAACACATTTCCGGATGGTAGCAGATAAAGATGGGAAGCGAAAGTATATGGCATGCTCACCAGGTGATGCCCGGAAGGCGATTGAGAGCACCATGGAGGATCTGTATAAGCAAGGGAAAGGCGACCTGGTAAGGGATATTGCCTAAGATTAAGCCATCATAATTAAAAAAAGAAAAGAAAAAATAAAATAAAATTATCTCATTTATCACCCTTAACGGCTCCTGAGTCACATTGAGGTCTGGTTGTAAAGTCTGCAAGATACAGGAGGTGACATGGGCATTTTGATGCATCGCCGCTTTCTCTTTGGACGATGAACCCTTGTCTGCATGTTGCAGCACACCTGCAAATGAAATGGCTGGCTCTTATTCACAGTCGTGGAGGAGTTGTTGTCATGCTTTTCCACCTTTTCCCTCTTCTTGTTCTTCCTTGCCTCTCTCCTTCCTCTGGTCTATACCCACATGGGTATATGTGGGTACATAACATGCTTGCGGTGCACCAGTGCGGTGCTCTGAGCGGGGTGCACAGTTCAAAAATGTGTGTGCACCCGGAACATAACGTTTATAGACACCATGCGCTGAGCGTGGTGGTGCTGCCCGGGTGCGCCACACTTCTTCTGGAGGGAGGGGGGAGAGGGGTCTATGTATGTGTGTATTGCGTTGAGAACACAACGGACTGTATTCATAACTGTAGCGGACCTGACAGCTTGCTGTATTCATGGATGACACACCACACCAGCATGCATACATTTTTTCAGGAGTTGTTACGAGGGTGGGTCATGCCCCCGTAAGAGAAACAGAGTTGGGCATTCTTGTGAAATCAATTGTCATAAATGAATTGGCAGTCGCTCTCCACGAATCGATCCGAGCATCTACCTGTGAAAAAAAATAAATAAATAAAAAATCAATTGACAGTCAGAAATGGCCGTATCCAGGAGCGCAAGAACCCTATGACGATTCTGTAACATCTGTATTCGACCTGAAATACAGTGTTAATCATTCCGAGAGAAGAGTGGAGGGTAAAGACCCTTTCATGAACCGCATAGCTTCCAGATTTGTGAGCAACCTCCTGGTTTTGGGGGGAAAGATAAACAAAACAGATTATGAACGTGCCGAACCTAAAAGATGGCTTAAATACATTCCAAGGGAAGGATGAGGGATAAACGCCCTATCACAAATCTCGGAGTAGAAATTCCATTGAGTTTGCAGGAAAAAAAACGAAACAAGATTCTCTCTCCTTATTATTTATGTTACTATCCTGGCCAATTTCGAAGTACATATTCATCAGAAAGTACAATGCTGTCCAAATGCAAAAAGAAATGAATGAACTTGAGAGGAGAAAGAGGGAAAGCAGAAGAAGAAGAAATAAGAAAGAAGAAGAAGATGATGTACTCCAGCATAGGCCAAAGACAAGGCTCTTCTTCTTCGCCAACCAATCTCCTCTTCCTTATCTCCTCCCCTCTTATTCAAACAGGATAACAATGATAATGTTGAATGGCAGTTCTAATGCAGGCACAACATCAGGTCCACCATAGCCATGGCCACTCTTCCTCTTCCTCTACATGCAGGCCGAGGCTATGGCGGAGCACTGAGGGCTTTACCCCCCTGTCCAAAGGACAACCCAGAGCAGCTATGTCGATGCATCCCTGTGCAAAGGACAACGCAAAGCAGCTACGCCGCTGCTCACTAGGCCGCCATGCCTGTCTCTGCCCTGAGCTTCCTTGGTGCGGCACTACCCCAACGGCGGCCTTCCAGATGCAGCACGTAACAAGGTGATGAAGATGGTGTCCACCATAGCCAGGTAAGTACCTCGCCACTCTCCTCCTTGGTCCCCTTCGCCCTCTTCCTGTTACCGGTCGAGCTCCGCCATAGCCAAGGTGGAAGCTCCCGGCTTCTTCCTCCCAGCAGCGCTGTAGTACCCAGCGCTACTCCAGCAGCGTGTCGCCAAACTTGCACACTGAAGAATGAAGCCGAGCTCTTGGCTCGGCCTCTTGATATAGCGGCCTGCTTGCCACCTGGGCGGTGACTTCCAAGCCGCTCGGCTTCCCAAGCAACCGGTACCTCCCTTTTGGAGGGAAACATCATTGCAGACTCTGATATTGCCCGTACAGGCTCTAGACTCAGACTGGATGGACTAGTACCGGCCTAGACCTAGCCTACCGCTACTGGGCCTCTAAAAATGCCAACTTTGTCTTCTTCTCCTCGGCCTCGAGTACCCGACACATCTACTGCTATTGGGTGTGGTACCGGCCTACCTGCTACTTGAGTGTTTTTCCGCTGCTCTAAGTCCCGCGAGCCTCTGGCTCCGCCACTCGAGTGTTTTCCCCTGCAACCCTCGATGCCACGTTCACAGGTAAGTATCGGCCCTACGGGTCACACACACACTCGTGCCGACATGCAAGTACCCTTGCGGGTCACACACACTCTCTTGTCGACAAGCACTCAGACAGGCAAACAGACATACGGACTTAAAAAACACAGCAGAATGCGGGAATCTCAGCAAGGCATCCATTCCATTGAAAGAACTTCAGAAATCAGCAGTGTTCTCAGTCTTTGTTATTGCGGGTCATTACACTACTCCGCCCTTCAAGAGCGAGGTCCCTTCGAGCGAGTAACTCAACCAGAGTGCTTGCATAATGCATCATAAGCGTAAATAGCAAAGAGAGATCGGGTATGCTCCGTAGGAGTGAGGGTAGCAGTGAATTTAGGTTGCTGATTCGGAGCTAATCAGTCGTTCATATGCGTTGATGACTCACGGGGCACTCTGCAGCAAGTCTTTCTTAGCGATCCAATAAAAGTCATTCAACGGGTGGTACAGAAAATGAACTTTGTACTGTCTGTTTCTCCCCTTTCCGCTGTGCTCGACAATTCTATCAACCTCGTGGCCGCCTTTGATTGCACGAGGAATCATCGACTCTCGATACTTAAAAAGTTTCGCAACTTTGATGCATGAAAGACTGGGTACGTACATAGGTGAGGAGGCACATCGATTGTGCAAGGACCAAAGTAATGAACTCCTACTCGGTTCAGCACCTTCCACGGACTGTAGTACTGAGGAAGAAGCTTTCGTGATACACCTTCTTCAGAGAACTCAGACATCTTGACCCAATCATAACTTCCCACTGTTAAAGTGTCAGGCTGCGCTTTTTGTTTGCATGTTTAGTCATGGCACTGCGTGGCCTTTCCATGGCTGCGACAACAACCTCCGCAACAACCTCGAGGAAACGATCAAACTTTGCGCTGTACCCTGGCTGGCCAGGTGTTAGGCCAGGTGGCTGTTCAGGAAACAAATAAGATAGGGGATTGCAAATTTTCCATCCAAGGTGCAGCCGGTTAGGTGTCATCCCGGTGGAGGAGTGTATGGAGTTGTTCAACCCCTGCACAATCGGCAATTCCTCGTTCCAAGAGTTCTGATCAGGCACAATTAGAGCTCGAAGAAGTTGGATCACAGTCTGGTTGATCTCCTCGGCCAGTCCATGAGCTTTGGGATGTCGACCAGACGTCATCTTGAGTTTGATGTCATAGAACTGGGAGGTGAAGTCCTTCCAATCTGCACTAATGAACCTAGTGTCCCGGTCACTTGCAAGAGTTTTCGGGGGTCCATACTGCAAAATGTACTTCTTGTGAAACTCTTTGATCACAAGGTCAGTTGGGGCGTGAGGTGGTAATGGGATCAAATTCAGAAATTTTGAAAAGCGGTCAACGATCACCATTACTTGCGAATATCCACTCCTACTCTTCTTCCCCATGTCCTTGAAGTCGATGGAAAGAGGATGCAGCAGCCCATAGGGCTTCTGCCGAGATGGTTTGATGCGTTGACAGACTTCACACTCAGCCACAAACTTCCGTGCTGGCCATACAAACTTTTGCAACAGACTTCCGTATGTCTTTTCGAAACCGAAGTGTCCACTCCGGCCATGAGCTAAGTCCAAGAAGCGAGTACGAATAGGCTCCTGACTGGGTACACACAGACGGTCATACTTCCCGTAACGTTGGAAGAGCAAACCTTTACACTCATGGAAGTCAGGCTGACTGCTAGGGTCATCCTGGATCTGCTCAAGGATGGGACTGAGTTCTGGGCCCTTGGCAGTATGCTCAACTACTTCCTCCAAGTTTTTACGGAGATCATAGGAGCCCACAAGACAAGTCATGTACTTAGGGTGGGGAGACAAAGCATCCGCAACGCGATTGTAACCTTTCTTGTGCCTAAGTTCGAAATCATACACAGCAATCTCATGCAGCCAGCGGGTCAATGTAGTTGATGGATAATTCTGTATCTGAATCCATTGCAAAGTCTCGTGGTCTGAGAACACTTTGAAATGGCGACCCAAGAGGTAGTGCTTCCAATGATCTACTGCCTCTCTCAAGGCATAAAGTTCTCGCATGTAAGTGGAGGCAGCTACCTTGTGACTGGGCATATGTTTGCCGTAGAATTCGAGCGGACGTAAGCCATCGCCATCATCTTGTTGCAGCACTGCACCAATCTCATACAAGCTTGCATCCATAGCCACTACGAATGTAAGTTCGGGATCTGCAATCCGGAGCACCGGATGACTCGCTAAAGCCTCCTTCAATGCTTGGAAGGTTGTTGTGCATTCCCCATCCCATGTGTAGGACACATTTTTGCTGGTCAATCTGGACAGCGTTCGGGCAATGATAGAGAATTTGAATACGAACATACGGTAGTATGACGCAAGACCAAGAAAAGAACGCAACTCGCGGACATTTGCGCCTCAACTTTGGTTGCCTTGGGCTCTAGGCTTGCAGCAGACAACCGATGTCCAAGGTAGATGACGTTGTCCCTGCCAAACTCAGATTTCTCCAAGTTGAGATGGAGCTGCGCATCCTTGAGGATCTGCAACATTTCCTCAAGGTGTCTCATGTGCTCCTCCATCGACTTGTTGAAGATTAGTATGTCATCAAAACAAACAACAACAAATCGATTGATCTGATTGCGGAACACCTTATCTATGATACTTTAAAAGGTGGCTAGTGCATTCGTGAGTCTGAAGGGCATGACGGTAAACTCGGACAACCCATCGCGAGTTTTGAATCCAATTTTATGCTGGTCTGCGGGGTCGACTTCAATTTGGTGGTAGCCAGACTTGAGATCGATCTTGGTGAAGACCTTG